CCCCCCCTCCTTTTTTTTTTTTTTAGGAAGGTGCAGGGACAAGAAAGGTATGTTTGGGGACTACAAACCCCATAATCTCCCGAGCCAGCAAATCGTTCTCAGACCACGAAGTACACTTCGACTTAAGACTTTCGAGAGTTTAGCCCTTGTTTCTGGAAAATACAGCCGCATCCGTCTGCTTTGTTTTCCTTGGATTGGGATCAGATCCGTTTTCAGGACTCCTGAAACCAGAAGAAAGAACGGTGGCTGGGAAACAAAATACGAAATAAAAGATCATGATAAACTGTATGAAATAAATACTTGATGCCAGTCTTCCCAGCTCAATCCTTGGTGGACTTCCGAGAAGATGGTTCAACGCCACCCAAATTGGCCGTTTTAGGGCATTTTTGGAATCGCAGCCGGGTTTTCCTTGTTCACCCTCCCCTCCCCACGGACGTGTCTCCTCTAAACTCCCCCTTTGACTTAAACCTAAATGGCGTCCTCGGCTCTTTTCTTCTCCGCAGACCGAATGCTTCAACTTTATCCGCATCCTGGTTCAGCTGAACGAGACCCATCTTTACACCTGCGGGACGTACGCCTTCAGCCCTACCTGCGCTTACGTGGTGAGTTTCGGGGTGCAGGCGCACCGGGGGGGGGGAAAAGGCCTGGTTTTGGAGTCCCCGTGTGTGTGTGTGTGTTTTTGTTTGTTTACTGTCGGTCAAGGAGAGAGGTGGGCTTGAAGGCTGCGGTTCTGGGCTTCTCCCACCCCAACCTGTGGACCCCAAAGGGTTCATTCACACACACACACAGACACCCCAGGGGAGAAGATGAGGTCTGTGCCACTTGCAGCGAATGGGCGGGAGGCCAGGGTGCATTTCTGCAGCCCCGCTGGGCCGCGCACCATCGAGGGGTGCCTTCGCTCGTCCACAATGAGCGGCCGTTGACCACCACAAGTGATGCTGACTTTGGTTGGGTGCCATTCAGATTCGGGCGACGAACGGCTCGTAGATTCATGCCGGCTCTCTGCCTGGCCTTCCTCGCAAGGCGGTTGTGCACTTCCATGGAAAAAACAGAGAAACAGCTACAGATTAAAATAGAATAAATCAATAAAAACGGGGTGGGGATGTAACCCTATGAGAGTCACCCATGATCGCTCCAAAGTGGGGACTGAATTGGGCACTATTGGGGGTCACTCTGGACTTTTTGGGGGGGGTCTTGGGTGCTTCTGAGTTCCATCCTCCCATATCTACCATGTTCTGTGGTCTCCGCCCACATTCATCTCCCTAGGACTTGGAAAATTTCACCCTGGTGACGGACGACACGGGGCAGCCCCTGCTTCAGGAAGGGAAGGGCCTCTGCCCCTTTGACCCGAGACATCAAAACACAGCTATCATTGTCGGTGAGCCCCATGGGGGGGGGGAGCCCTGGGGTGGGTGGACCCAGAAGGGAGCAGGGTCGCCCCGTCTAGAGGCCACGGGCTTGCCAATCCGGAAGAAGGCATCTCATCCGCGCCAGATTGGCAGGAAGGAGGGTGGAAATGTAGCCCCTTGCAACCTAACAAGCCCGCAATTGATTTCTGAGCGGGTGGGGAAACGAGGGTCCTAAAGGTCCTGCCCGATCTCCAATCCGCAGACGGTGAACTCTACACGGGCACCATGAACAACTTCCAAGGGAACGAACCCATCATCTCCCGCACCCTGGGCAGCCGTACGGTCTTGAAGACGGACAGCTTTCTCACGTGGCTGCACGGTAAACTGGGGAGGGGGAAAGGGAGGGAGGGTCCTTTCCTGGGGGGTGGGCGGGAAAGTAGACTGTCCGGGGTCACTCTCGGCCCAGAGCATCCCTTGACCCCAGGGCCCGGTTGCCTAGGCAACGGATGCAGGTGGTACCCAGGGAAGAAGGGTTTCCCAGGCAACCAAGGTCCCTTGGAAGCAGTGCAGGCGGACTGAGCTGGGAAAGGAAGGACAAAAAGCGGGAATGTCACACCTGACCTCTTTGGTGTGTGTTTGTGTGTCTTTGTGCGTCTCTCTCTCTCCTCCAGCGGATGCTGCCTTTGTGGCCTCCTTCAACCTCCCTTCCTCGCTGGACGAGGACAAGGTCTACTTCTTCTTTCAGGAGACGGCCAAGGAGTTTGACTTCTTTGAGAAACTGACCGTCTCCCGAGTGGCTCGGGTGTGCAAGGTGAGAGGTTCCCCTCCCTCTGAGCATGGGCAGAGTGCCCACACCCCCGACACCTCCGTCTCCCAGAACCTGGGAACAGCAGGAGGATGGGGCTGAATTGTAACGCCTGGTCTGGACCCACAGAGAGTGAGGAAAGACTTCGACAGAGAATTTAAGAGAATTCTGATTGACAGAGAAGGCAACCAGCAAGGCAGAAAACGCCAAAGTAAAACAAAAATAGCGTGTTCGTTTAAAACCAGGGGGTTATCCCCTTCCGGGCGGGTGCTTCGTGAGGGGCCCGAGCCCTGAATGAGGACGCCGCCTTTTGCTTTTCCAGAACGATGTGGGGGGTGACAAGGTTTTGCAAAAGAAATGGACCACCTTTCTGAAAACCCAGCTCTCCTGCGCCGAACCGGGCCAGTTCCCCTACACCGTCATCCAGCACGTCTTTGCTCTCCCGCAGCCGGACGGCGGGGCGGTTTTCTACGGCGTCTTTTCTTCCCAGTGGTAAGTGAGGCTGGGGGGGGGGGAGAATTTGCACCCAGGCCTCGGTGGCTTCCTTGGGCGAAAACGGGGGCCGGGGTACCAGAACGTTCCGTTGTGGCCCTACGCCACCGAGCGGCCCTTGAGACCCTAATCAATTTTTCAAGGCCTGGGAGANAGGGTGGCAGAACGTTCTGAGCGGCCCTTGAGACCCTAATCGATTTTTCAAGGCCTGGGAGAGATTCAGGGACTGGCTTTACCCAAGTTCCCCCCCCCATGAGTTTCTGTGGCCGAGCAGGGATTCGAACGCAGTTCTCCTGCATCCTAGTTTAACACTCTCCCACACACACACCATGCCAGCTCTCCAGGCAAAATCCGCTTTTGATGACCCTGCCGTGCACAAGAGCAATGAATTGTGTGCCTGTGAGCATGTACAGAGTGCCCTTTGAGTCTCGTGATGCAGCGAGCTTGATCCCCCTCCTTTGCAGGCAGGCGGGAAATTTCTGGAGCTCGGCGGTCTGCGCCTTCACGCTCAACGCCATCACGAAAGCCTTTAACGGGAAGTACAAAGAACTGAACAAGGAGTGTTCCCGGTGGATGACGTACAGCGGGCCCGCCATGGACCCCCGCCCAGGAAGCGTGAGTGTCGGTGGCGGGCGTCCTTCTTGCGATGTGGGAAAGCAGAACCCAAGCATCCCAATGTATTTGCCATGATTTAATTAACATCCTTTAAAAAATAATAATAATGGGAGCCTGGCGCTCACCATCTCCCCTTCCCTCTGGTGTTCTGCAAGCCAGGTTCCAGCGTATTAAACCTTTTATTTATTTATTTAAAACTATTTTTACCCTGCATTCCTCCCTCACCAGAACCCCAGGCAGCTTACTTCGTTAAAAGACAATATTTAAAAGCTAAGGACAGTAAGTAGAATCAAGAAGAGATCGGAAGCTTTCCAAATAAATTCGAACATTGGGAAATGGATTCAAAACCAGATATAAAACTTTTAAAAACAGGTCCAACACCTGCCCCCCCCCCCAAAAAAAGTTGGGTTTGTTTTTTTCAAAAACAGATCTTAGAAAGCAATGGTGCTTCAAGAAAACCAATATTCTAGTTCCCCATCATTTGAAATCATGAAATTCAGTGCCTATTAGAGCTCAACAGAATCGGGCCCTGGTGTAACATGTAATTTGAACCCTGGTGTAACGTGTAATTTGACCTCGGGTGTTCCTTCTCTTTGCGCCCTCTGCCCTGCTCCGTCCCGCAGTGCTCGGTGGGCCCATCTTCCGACAAAGCCCTCACTTTCATGAAAGACCACTTCCTGATGGACGAGAAGGTGGTCCCGGCCAACAACCAGCCCCTCCTCGTGAAACACAAGGTGAAATACACCCGGATCACGGTCCACCAAACACGGAGCGTCTCGGGGGCACTCTACAATGTGATGTTTATGGGGACAGGTAGGAGAATTTCATTTCATTCCGTGTCCTTGCCGTTTAAAACGTGGACTTCCTCGCTTGCGGGTTTATTCCTATGCATGGGGCTGAAAGGATTACAGTCGTACCTCTGTATCCACGGGTTCAGTATCTGCTATGTTCCCTTACCCAGGATTTGAACATATTAACAACATTAAAAGAAAAAACCCAGAAATATATATATTTCTAAAGATGAAGTGGCCAGAACTGGTCATGAGAGGAAGCCTGAGGCCACACTATGTATAGCGTTCACTAAGAAAATGGTGTTGGGTTTAATCTGCATTTTTCCACATCCACAGCCTGTCCTGGTCCAGATCTCAGACAAATCACCTGAGGTGACGCAATGTGGGCCGATCCGTCTCTAGATCTGGATCAGGGCAAGAATGGTCTGGGATGTGAGCCCCGAAATGCTGCCTGGCTCACGTTCTTCCGACGATGGGTGTCAGGAGAAGGCTACGGGCGCGATCAGAAAAAGGGGGGAAGAGCTTGTATTTTGGCCCGGCTGTGGTTCAAGCGATTCCCTGGCGATCCTACGATGTCCGGGGAATTACCTTCCAGCCTGTTCAGTTTGGAAACTTTTGGGGAGGGGTGTGTGTGTGTTTGTGGATGGATGGAGCAATTGCTGGATGGAAGGAAGGGTGGCCCGAAGGGAGACCGGCTCCTTTCAAAGCGAGCCTTTCCGGTGCGGTCCTTTCTTGCTGTTTGGTGTCCCCACCCCACCCCGCTTCTGCTGCTGGCGTACCAGAGGTGTCTGTAGCCCCGGAGAGAACCGGAGGGAGAAGACCTTGAGTCTCCCTTTGGACGGCCAGGTCAAGATGTACTTCATCTTGCTCTGTTGCTGTTCCGTAGACAAAGGCTTCCTCCACAAGGCCGTGGTTGCGGGGAGCGGGGCCCACATCATCGAGGAGATCCAGCTTTTTGAGAAGCCAGAAAGCGTCCGGAACCTCCTGCTCTCCCCGGAGAAGGTGCGTAAATCTGCGCCACAGGCGTTTAACGATAGGGCCGAACTCCTGTTGTCTTGCTCCTTGGGTTCAAGGCTCTCCTGCACAAAACGGGGGGGGGCGGGGGGTTGCATGAGGGGAGACCGAGGACCACTTTGAGCAAGCGAAATCCCAGTTGGAAACTAGCAAGGGGGATATTACGAGTGAGAAAGGTCTTGAAATGGTTGTAAATCAAAAGCTGAATACGAGCCAACTGTGTGACGCAGCGTCAAAAAGAGGCCAATGCGATTTTAGGATGCATTCACAGAAGTATAGTCTCCAAATCCCGTGAGGTGCTAGTCCCCCCTCTATTCAGCACTGGTTAGGCCTCACCTTGAGTATTGTGTCCAGTTCTGGACGCCACACTTCAAGAAGGATGCTGACAAATTGGAACAAGGTCAGAGGAAAGGATGATCAGGGAAATGTGGGCCGCCCTCTGTCGGCTCTGCTTTGATTGGGATGCCTGCCTTGACCCGTGGCAGAAAGATGGCACAATCGCACAATCTGCTAGCGGCTTTTGCGGCTCAAGGGCTGTCGGAAAGTCCAAAGAGTTCATGGCAAGGTTGATTTAGCCAGGAAAGTTATTTTTCTCAGGTCCACCCTGCTCCCTTGCCAAACAGAAATGTGTCATTTCCAAGGAAAACCGAAGGGGAAAGTGCGTTTGTGTGTGCGCGCGTGGCCCACACCCCTCTTTGTTTGAAGAACTGGGGCGTGAGACCCAGCGCACCCTCGCCTCGCCTGCGACTTCAACACAACAGCCCAAATGCAACCTTTCTGGCTTTCAAGGAAAACCTTTCCCGGCCAAATTCCATCTTGCCACAAACGTTTAGACTCTTTTCAGTTCTCCACCCTGGTCGCAGCCAGACGAAGGGGACGGCCCCGATCCACCGAAGCGAGCAGATTGCATGGTGTTGTTGTTTTTTACTCCCCTGCAAAGATACCGCCTACTCACTTTTGCATTTTGTCAGGACCACACCACACCTTTTATTTCAACAGAACAATTCGTCTTGCAAGGCGTCTTGTGTATTTCTTCCAAAAACGGATTGAAAAGACTTTCCTCTAAATAAATCTTGCTACGGAGATCTTTTCCTTTCTTACATTTTTGTTATTTAGGGCATTTTACATCTCCCCATCTTTCGGGGGGGGCGTTCCTGCTTCTTTCACATCTTTTCAGAAAACTGATCCCTTTCCTTCCCTCAAACTGGGCGGTGGGACCGAATCATTTTCCTTAATGGGACCTCCCACAGCATCCTCCCAGTTTGGCCCAGTTAGGGTCAGGGAGCTTCGCCCCCAACCACCATGCGCCGCACAAGTACAACTCCACAGAGGGTATTCACAAAGCGCCCCCCCTCAAACACTGTTTGCAGAAGAAATTAGATGTTTAAATGAGCACCGGGTGGTATTGCCGGCAGATTGCCTTTCCCCCCCCAACACACTCTCCCCCCAAAAAAACGAACATCGGCAAAATATTACAGATGGTGCTTCTTTCTAACCGCCCAGCGCTCGCTTCCTAAATTTCACGGCCTATTTCCTTGGCTCTCCGAAAGGTAAATATAGGGAAGTTTGTTCTGCAGGCAGAAAACTTTAACATGTCCTCAATTCGTGGAGCAGGAGAGGAAACGAATTGCTTCAAAATCGGAGGCTGTGGGGGTGTCACGATGGACGAGGGGGTCCCGGGAGTGACCCCACTGGAAACTCACGAAGCGGTTTCAAACCGACCATTGTCTCTCGGCCAAGTCAACCTCGCAGGGAGGGTGTGAGATGAATCGGGGTGAAGGAGAGCGATCTGTTTGGCCTTGAGATTTCAGGAATGGTGGGATGTCCGGGGAAAATAAGATGAAACAAAATGAATAAATAAAGGGATGGATGAAGGGAGGGAGGGATGAAATTACTCGCCATGCAAGAAGCTCCTTGCACAGTGAGCATATCTACATCATCATCATCATCTCCTCCTGGCCTGGCCGGTACGGAGGGTGACAGACCTCTCTCTGTTCGTCTCTAGGGGATCCTGTACGTGGGCTACTCCAAAGGAGTCTTGCAAATCCCCCTCACCAACTGCAGCATCTACACCACCTGCGGCAACTGCATCTTGGCGCGCGATCCGTACTGCGCCTGGGACAGACACCAGTGCCGGGACATCCGACAGGCCTCCGAGAACATGTGAGTGCTTGTGTGGGGCGGGGGGCGGGGAAGGGGGGGACCAGCAACGGTGGCGCATCCCCCCCAATGCAGTTGGGGTCCATCTGTTCTGACAAAGGAGAGAGGCAGGTCTTTTGCAAAGCTCGCGGCTCTTAGTGAAGGGGAATGTAAAAAACACTCTGGCTGTGATAATGTGGGGGATCAAATGGCACAGGGCTAAGTTACTGGGGAGGGGGTTGCAAATGTAACATTGCAACTGTGCACTCCTTTTATTTTCTCCATTGGATCGATGGCGTGTGCCTTTTTAAACAACCAGCCAGTGTTTTCGTTTGTACTTCAGGCCAGCTTTGCTTTGCAAAGGGTGGTGGTGGGGGAGTTCTTGTTTTACACAAGAGGTGCGGAAACCTCAGTAAGGAAAAAAAGGAGGGTTTCCTTCTCTTGTTTTTTTGTGCTGGAGGCAAGAAACATCACAGGTGTGGCTTTGGTGGGCCAGGAATGGGCAATACGAGATGAATCCTTCCTTTAAAATTATAATTAAAGTTCGAAAGATATTTAAAGGCATTTAAACTTTTTACAGGAGAGATGTGCTGCTGGAAAGCTCTGTGATAGATGGATTGCTTTTATTTTTATTATTTATGAATTGCATTTCTATGTTGCTCATCTAGTGACTGCTCTGGGTGGTTTGCAGTCACTTAATAATGCAATTCTCCCCCATGTACCTTCTTTTAGCACATGCACACACCCCCAGTGCACTCACAAGAAGAAATTCATTCATTCCTTCATTCCTTTATTCCTTCATTCGATTTATATACCACCCATCTGGCCCAGGCTCTCTCTGGAAAATTTCCAAAGCAAAATAACAGAATTACAATATCCAGAAACCAAATCAAGAACTTCAGCTCTGCTATAGTATATATATAAAAAGAGTATAACAAAATCAAAACCATTTGAAATGCGTTGTAAAAATACCTAGATATTTCAAACCCCACTTCAAGTTGCCAATTTTTTAGAAGGGGAGCCATAAGCAGGCCGTTCCGTGGAGGTCCCCTCTGTCGTCATGGCCCACGGTGACTTTTAAATGGAGCCTCCACGCACGGTAGCAGCCTACCTTTGAACGGCAGCCGCTGGAAGCAAACTGCGAAAGGAGGGCTGTCGCCGCCCGGCCCTGTTCAGGAAGGGGCCTGGCCGTCGCCAAAGTAGGGAGCAAAGCGTTCTTGACGTAGGAAAGCAAGTGGATCTCGAGTTCTCCTCTTTTCCTTGTTTCCTAGGAGTAACTGGCTCCAGGACGTGGAGAGTGGGCGGCCGGATCCTGGTTGTCAGCAGAACGGTATCAAACCCAGGTCCTTCTCGAGGGCAAGGAACAGCTCTGAAGGGAGCACGATCAAAAGTACGGGGACCAGCCTTCGTCCTGGGATTTGATGGAGGGCCAGTTTTTGCTTTGCTTTGCTTTGTTGCAAACAGTCTCCTCGGGGCTACATGTTGGTGGAACCGATTTACACTTAAAAATTGAGTTCTCCATCTGCTAAAACCAGAGGAGGATCCAGCTTTGCCATTGGAAGCACAGCTGTTTTAAGACATGAAGGGCCTTTTATTATCCAGGTGGATCATAATAGCAGAATTCCGCAAGGGGCAGATAGATGGCTTTCCTTTCCTTGGGGGGTGACCCTTCTTGAATCACCGGCTCTTTTTTTTGCAACAGCTCAAGAAGCTCAGCCGCTTTGAAGGAAGGTCTTTCTTGGGGGAGGGAAACAGGCCTTGACAGAATCAAAGAGAGGGAAAGAGGCACGGAGCAGGGAGGCGGGGCTTTCTTTGAAATCAGAGGCAGGGAAGGAACTATTGGTTAGCACTGGATAGATTGAGAGCTTCTCCAGCCCCAGACAGGCCCCTCCCAGCCAAATCCACTAAAGGCAGCCTACGAGGTTGTAAAAAAATCTCCCTTTTTTTGTTCTGTGCTCTAGTTCTGAACCCGCCGCTGAATCCCATAGTGAGGCTCCCTTGCCCTCAGGCCTCGGCCCTGGCCAACTACTCCTGGAACTACACTGACCAAGAGGCGGACGGCGGGCTGGTCATTGAAGATGACAAGACTTTGGTGGTGGTGGTGCAGAGGGACACGGCGGGCACGTACGAGTGCTGGGCCAATGAGAACGGCTACCGGCACCCCGTGGCCCGCTACCTCATCTCCTCCGGCCACCGGGAGGGAGACCTGCAGAGCCCGGCCCTGCTGCTGGAAGAGCAGCGCTCCTACTGGGTCCAGTTTGTCACGGTGACGGTGCTCCTCTCCATGACCTTAGCCGTGGCCGTGGCCCTGGCCTTCTTCTCCTACCACGACAAGCTGAAGGCCAAGAGCAAAGTCCAGGGTTGCAGCCTCCCCGAAGCCCGTGGCAAGGGTTCGGGGCAAGAGAAGGTGCCTCTCAACGGCAGCCAGAGCCCACCTCCCCAAGGCCCGGAGGACCAGCGCCACGGCCCGTACCAAGAGCCGGCCACGGACGGTGCCGCCAAGGCCTGCTGCATCCGCGTGGAAGGAGACCCCAGCGGCATTGATGCCGACAACAACCAGTTGAACTCCAGCCTCGCGAACGGAGAGGAGGTCCAAGGGGCCACCGCCGCGGTGGGAATCTAAGCCGGATTTTGCCAGGAGTGGCCGTTAACAAGAGACGTCCATCTCGGCCCCCCTGGCCGCCTGACCAGAAAAGCTATCTCAAGCCCTCACTCGGGCATGGTTCCGAACCACCGCCAGAAAACACAGAGTTTAACTCTGCTTTCCGTTTCTTTTCCCTTCTTTTCCTGGCCGGGTCTGTACCAGGCCACGTCGGCCGGGGATGGAGACCACGCGGCCCCGTGCAGCCATGCCACCCACGCATCCTTTAGGCCCCCTTCCACCCCACGTCCAGGGCCGAAGGGGAACAACCGAGCCCCTACATTTCTCCTGGCGGGGGCCTCCCTGTGCCGCCCGATCTGTGAATCTTCCCCCGTGAAATGTTTACAGAAACCAGCCGGCCCCCCACTCCAGAGTGGTGCGGTTTTTTGAGAGACCTACGGGGTAGAGAGCACAGATATGTGGGTGATGCATTACAGGTGTGATCAAGTTTCTCAGTTTTTGCCCAGGGGTTTTCAGGGAGAGATCAGTGGCCTGAAAGGTCTGGGTTCTAAGCCTCCCAGCAGATTGGAAAAAATGAGCCGGGCGGTTGCAAAAAGACGGGTTTGACCGAAAGACAGAGAGAGCCCATTTCAGCCAACAGCGATGCAAGTGGGTTTAGCTCCCGGACCACGGGGGGGGGGAGAGGTTTGCCCCCAAATTCAGAAAGGCAGGATTCCCCCACCCTGCTCATTAGCTGCCATCGATGCAGGAGGGCAGCCCGTAAAGGGGAGTTTAGCAAAAAATAAAATAAAATAAACCAGCTGCCTGGCTCGAATAGCCAGCGCTGTGGCTGGTGGTGCCAGGGGACAGAATTTCCACCCTTGTGTGGGTTTGCCTTGAAAAAGCATTTATTCCCACCTCCAAAAGAGGCTGGTTTGCCATGAAAGATCCTCTCCCCTGTCCTGAAAATGCAACCCACCCATGCCAAAAAAAAGGGCAGCTTGAGTCACTGCTTCCTTGGCCGAGTTTCCTCGGCTTTTTCATGAGGCTGATATGTTTACTACCTTGCATAATTTATAGTGTGTCGCTTTGCCTTTTTCTGGGGAGAAGCAGGCAATTCTCTGAAATGCCTGCGCATGTCCCAAAAACACGCCATGGCCTTGTCCTCCACAGAGCAGCCCCCCCACCGAGAATGTCCAGCTCCTCTCAGACTAATGTCCATCATCATCTTGATGGCGCCTTAGTTTTGATCATCTCGTTCCGTGATGGACAAAATGAGTGAAGATTAGAGGCCGAAGGCAGATCAGAACAGACCAGACACCGGCTTCTTCGGGAGAAGTTCTTAAAATATGATTCCTTTAAACATTTTTTTTCCGGGAGTTTCTGCGTCTTGACCAACCGCTTGGGCTCGTGGCCTGGCAACCCACCGGGAGGAACAAAACCAGCCTGCGGAACCTCCTGCCAAGCAAAACAGATGCCCTCGGGCTCTTAAGGAGCCTCTGCTTCTAATTGCAAAGCGGGTGCCTTGGCGATTTCTGCTCTCAGATTGGTGATGGGTCTTGGGAAAAGCTCCGGGTTGCAAATTCCAGAATTCCCAGCCACACGTAGCTTAGCCGGGAGTTTCTGGGAGTTTGTAAGCCAAGACAAGGAACTTTCTGAAGCTTTGGGCATTCAGGGTGAGGGCAACCGTGATGTGCCATGGTTTTCATATTGCACGCATTGCGAGGATGTTTTTTCTCATGCATTCGCCCCGGCCACCGCCCTTTTGGGACAGGCCATAAAAATCATTCCTTTTTCTTTTCTTTTTGCTTCCTTCGCCAATGTCAGGGAAAAGCTGTGAATCCTTTCCTCCTGATTCCAAACATGTGCCTCCAGGTCCCTTCCTGCCCATGCGCCGTTGCTGGCACCTAGCGATCAAACTGAGCGGTTGCACATCAGCCTTCCTAGTGAATATCCCCACACACACACACACACACACATTGTTTCAGACCTTGAGGTTTGGAAGCCAGGTTTGGGTGGAGAGTTCTAGGTCACAACCCTTTGCCACTTGGGCCTAGTTACAGTTAGGTCCTGTTGCTGGTTATTTTTCTTTTTTTAAAAAACTTCACCTTGTTTTATATTGGTTTAAAGAAAGCGTTCTTTGATCCGGAAGGTTTCAAAGCCTGGAAACCTGGCGAGGTCATGATCGCTCCGGACCCTGCCCCATAGGGGAACTCACCGTCCCCCGTCTCCCCCCCCCAAAGGCTGCTACATGTACCCACTTTCCGGAAACCTTGTGTCTACCCGTGTTTGTCTGAGCAGATGTGAGCCGGGTCGATTCCCGTGTAACCTGCATGGTGTCTATGGTGTTGATCTTTCACTGTCTTGGGCATGTTCTTTAGACGCCCCAGACCTGCGCTCAGAAACGAAATGGGCCCGGAGGAGGGTCTGGGGTCTGTGTTTTGGGACAAGCAAAGCGCAGCGCCAGCTATGATCTGCACGCCCCTTGTGTGTCTGGATGTGCATGCGTGTGTTTGTAAGAGTGGACCTGTCTTTAAATGTACTGTGTGCCTGATGCCTCTCCCAAAATCAGCTGGGGGGGGGAAGGAAGGCAGGAACCCCACCGAAAGCTTGGTTTTGCAGACTCGTGAAATTCTCACAGTGCCCAATGGGAACCTCCTGCTAATTAAGCAAAAGCCACAAAATGAAAAAGGGCAGGATTCCACGTCCTTTCCGTTTCCCTTAAAGAAAGAAATCTAAAGGAAATGTCTTTTAGATCTTGACCAAAAGTTTTGCCAAGTTCATGTTGGTATGTTTCCAACATCATTTCTAATTGAAAAGAAGTTTCTCCCTTCCCCACTGTTCCGGTCGATGCTTCTTCCCCCCCCCCCAAAAAAATCTCATTTTTGCCCCACCCCACCCCAAGGTAGGCATCCCAGAATGTGGAAGGAGAAAAATATGGAGTGGATTTTAAAGCCTGCTTCCTCGTGCCTTTAAGCCCGCCACCTCCTCACCTGCAGCAAAAGTGCTTTTCACCAAGCGGGTTGGAAAAGACGCCTGCCCCGCCTGACGACCCTCTGCGCGAGGGACGGGACGACATCTTGTCTAATTTGAAACCAACCTCCAAGTAAACTGGGGAGGGGGGGGAAGTTCAGCACCTTGTTACTTTGTGGGCCGTATGCACACAACACTCTGGTTCCACTGCTGCTTTTGCCTAAATAGTTTTGGCAGGTTCTCCAGCCGTTCAAAAACCTGCAATGCCTGTTTGACCGGAGGTGAAAGCAGGGGTGTGTGTGTGTTCATACTATAAAAAACGGGGTGACCTTCCTTTTTTACCCCCTCAAACAGCTTGTGGCTTAGACGATCCTTCACTTCTATCCTGATTCATTTGATCGGCCACTTTGTTTGAATTAAGAACCTGTCAACCAATGGATTGTTTTGATCCTTGACTGCTTTGTTGTGTTGTTTATAACAAGATGATTCCCCCCTCTCCCAAAGGTGTAAATCTTCCTTGTGTTTATATGTCCTATTTTTTATTAAAATGTGTGATGTACTGTGTTGGTGGCATTAATGCACAATCATTGAATCTAAGTTTACACGAATTGGACACCACTCCGGATTAAAGGTGACCGGCCAGTCCGTGCGACTCTGTAAACCCCTTTGATTCAATAGGCCTACTCTAGTTGGGCCCGATGGTTCACGACACACGGTCGCTTCTACAGCAGCTTTTGAACCATCAAGAGGTGGACCATGGAAACGTTACTTTAAAAAAAGAAAAAGCATACAGCTCTTAAAATGTCTTTGCTGGACTGGGTTTCAAGATTTTAGCATCCTCCTCCATAAAACCTCTCATGCTTGAGAGCGGCTTTGGCAGTTAGATGGTTGGTATAAAAAATAAATACAGTAAATGAAATCAATTCATTAAACGATGCTATCTCTCCCCTCTACACTTGCTACTTAATTAAAGAGAATACGAGCAGGAGGGCTGTTGGACATAAGGTGTATGGGGGAAAAGTTTATTTTTCTCATCCCATCTCGGGTACATTCCGTTCTTCCAGATGCCTGTGGGGGGAAAAAAAGGAGTAACGGCCCACATAAAAAAAATACTTAAACAAAAGCCACAGGGCTCCTTGTTATTCTCTGTATCTGAGGCCTTGGTTGCCTCTGAATACAGTATCTATATTGATTTTGTGTGCCATTTTGAACGCTCCGTGTCAGGTGTGACCAAACCCCCTCTTGTCAACACACGCACACACCCTGTTGCCCTTTGAAATGTATTTATTGACTTTTTAATTCATCGCCACCTGCCTTTCCTCCCAAGAGGACTTAGTCCTTGCGTTTAAGCTCTCTTTCCTCCTCCTCGGTTCATCTCGAAGAAGTTTATGTTAACATTCCTTTTTTAAAATTTATTTGTTTAAAAGGCTTCTACCCCTGTCTTTGCTCCTGAAAAGGATCCCAGGCGGATCGTGATACACAGCAGAAGGACAGGGGGAAACAGCTTCAAGTTCCCCAGAGAGTCCACCCCCCTTTTCTCCTCAACTGGCACTTAAGGTCTCAATAATTCCCTCTGTTGGAAAATTGAAATGTGGCATTGCTTCCAGGTTGTGGGCAGGTCAAGAGCACCCGAAACACACCACTGGCTTCAACAAAGCCTCCTCTGGAGTCAAAAGCAGACATCCTGCCTTGCGGCTGTGCCTATTTTTGCTTTTTTTTTTCCTTGGACTACAAGTCCCAGGATTCCTGGGAGTGACAGTCCAAAATCCTGGGAGTGATAATCCAAAATCCTGGGAATCCTGGGAGTTGTAGTCCATCTTCCCGGTCCGCTCAGTCCCCAAAGGGTTAATCCACCCTCTCCGGAAACCGCCGGGCGGCGTTCCCTTTCCCGCCGGAAGCGCCGCTCTACTTCTGCCCCGCAACTCATATCCTCCCCTCTCTCCCTCTTCTCTTCCCGCCCCTCGCCTTCGCCCGCCATCTTTGTCCCTGGCCTCGGCGCAGGCGCAGCCTAGCTGGGCGAGGCCGCCGCGAGGCCCGCGCTTCCCGCCCCCAAGATGGCGGCGCCAGGAGTCCCCGGAGGCGCCGAAGGAGCCGCCGCAACGGCCGCGCTGAGG